CTGAGTTTATTAAACTGGTGATGCAAATCTGAAGGCTAGACCCGTCCCATTTCACAGCCTCGCACTTCTGGCCTTCTCGGTCTTCAAAGGAGCCGGCCCATGTAGACCGCGGAGGCCAGTTCCTCTGAAGGATGCGGCCTAGGATTTGGGACATAGCTAACGATCACTGATCATTGGTGAATTGTATAAGGCCTATGGGGAGGAATTAACTCCTAGACTGAAGGCAGTTTATAACTGGGTCCTTAAACAAGGGGAGGTTCCCCCTTCATAGGAAGAAGTGACCATTTCTGTCATTCCAAAGGATTGAAAATATAAACTGAACCGTAGCCATTATTGACCAATGTCAGTATTAAACCTTGATGATAAAATATTTACATACTAGCCAAACGACTTGATAATATTATACCCAAATGTATTAATCTTGACCAAACTGGGTTTATCCATCAGAGGTAGACCCAAGACAGTATTAGAAGGACTCTCCACGTCACACCATCCATCACTTCTTTCCCCTTTTTCTTTGGGGGTTGGCGGGGGGCTGGAGCTGTCCTAGGGTGAGAGCCAGGGTACATCCTTTTTGACAAGCTTTTGACAGAGAAGACATAGAAGAACGAGCCATGGATGGCAAATTAAAGTTGTATCTGAGGACCCTGATAATCCCTGGATAAAATTAGCTTTTAAGATTTGGAGTGAGGTGTGCAGAGAAAACAAACAAACAAGGCTGATGTTAAGATGGTGCTTTTGATACAGAGTTTCTACCTAACTGTAATGACACAAGACTTCGAGAATGGACATTGAAGGGCTTCTCTTCTTATTTTACATTATTCCATTTCCAGCTACTGTGCTGGAATATCATAAAAATGGCGCTAAAAACAGATACAATCATGCACTCGTGTCTTCAACCCAAATACGACAGACATGGTGCAATGTGCCGAGGGGTACACGACCGGCTGATGTGCCACAAACATTTGACTGTTGTCATTTTTAGGTCATAGTTCACAGAT